TCTAAGCCAACAGCTGAAAAAGAGTTAAGATGAAGATCATGCAACTAATGTACAAAATATTACGTCTGTTTGTTTTGATCCTTTAGAAAGACAGTAATGCAGCATATACTTGGTCAACTGAGCACTGATGCAAAAAATGCTTCATTGAAATCCAGAGGGCTCTCCACAGGTGGTTACTTTTATATACTGCAGTGAAGTCACATTTTGGGGAAGGTGATAATGAAGTAAGGAGATTATAGACAGGATATGACGTAAATCAATGTGAGCCATTCTGTTCATTTAACTTGTTTAGTTTAACCAAGATTAATAACCAATTCCAACAAATGCAGTCTGCACTTACTGTGATGAATATGCTCAGATTCCGCCTAGAAAATGTGAAACATCAAGGTGAATGCATAACTTTGAACTACTTTCTTTCCATTTTAGAATCACACTGAGCCTATACAGGGTGGTCATGTGCATCTGGAGCAAGAATAGTTTTGTTTGTCGAATCATAGCACCTTCAACTGAAAGCTAATTGAATTGCGAGTTAACTAAAGATTCCTTGCTCTATTGTATCACATTCTTCCCTTCAGCCAATTCACAGACACCTCTTGGTAACAACTACTTTGTGAGTCTCCTAAACATTGTTCCATGTGGCGTGAAGTCTGAGTACTTCTATCAAGTCTGACCTGAAACATGTTTAATCATCAACGTTTAATCATTAGTTTAAATCAAATAGAACCATTAGAGCAAACACTGTCACACTGCTTCAAGGCAGAAGTGACTCTCTGGCTGCGTGACGTGTGAGCCCTAGTGTGTGTTTGTGCCAAGAGTACAAGGATACAGGCAAATGTCTGTTGAATGTTATGTTTTCGCCCTTTGCAGGCAGGTTTAATGTTCACTGATAGAAAAGACGTAAGAGCAAACTAGATGGGGACAGGGAGTAAATAAGGTAAAAGAAAAGGCAATACATAGAAAGAGAGGAAGGGGTGCACAAAGTGGCAATATCTGAAGACAAACAAACATAATTTAAACACACTTGAGAATGTGGACTAAATGTCTGTCACCAGAATTGCTACAGGAAAGACAACTTTGAACTCGTTATTAAGTCTAAAAATACAACAAATGTCCATTATAATTAAAAAAAGTAATTTAAACAATTTGGAAACTCTTTGTTCTTGATATGAATCAACACTAAGCATAACAAATAAAAAGGCTCGCTCATTCTACTAAGATCTTTCCCTTTTCAGTCTCCCATGTTTCAGTAAGTTTTAAAGTTATATTTGGGTTCACAATAATTTCTCAGGCATCATATGAAGAATATAAACTACAAACTCGCAAACTGCAGCTGGAAAACAACTAAAAATGAGAACCAAAGGGGAGATGCCAAAACACAATTAAATGTAGTTTTTCAGACCGAGACAACAAAGCAAAGTGAGCCTTTTGTGCGTTGAGAAAGTCCAAATCCGAACCGAACACAGCAGAGCACAGCGAAACAGGTGGTTTCAGCTAATCGTCTGCCTGTGTGTGTGGCTGTGAATGTGCAGGTTTTTGAATGAACACGTGAATACCGTGTGTGTGTGTGTGTGTTCTATCAAAGCAGGCAGATCCAGTATATCTGTGTCTGTGACCAACGTCAGCTCTAATAGACTCTACTTAATACAGTTCAACAGAGGGAAAAGGCTTTGTCTGGAGACTTAAGTCGGTCTTTCTTTCTTTTATTCAAACTTTCTCCACTTGGCATTCCAGTTATTTTATTTCACTCAAGTGTAAACTGGTAAGCTGGACTTAACCTTTATTATTCTTGAGAGTAAAAAAAAAATAAGCCTGTCTCTCATTGTAAGTTTATTTTGGTAATAGGCATTTTTTTCTAAGCCTAACTAGGGTCTCACTGGGTGTCTTCAACATGATCCATGTACAGTAATCCAAAAACTGGTTCAGTGTCCCAAGTTTGCAAGATTTTTCTCCCTGTTTCTTTATGAATACATCTGGTTCTCATGAATCAGTTTAAATACATCTCTTAAACAGATGCAGAAACACAAACAGCATGCAGCAGCTGATAATTATTTGAAGCTACAGTCTTTCACTGGATCACTTCCAAAACGGAGATGAAGATTTTACAACACCACAGCGATTAGCTCATTCAATGAGCATTTACTGATGTTTCAACTGAAATATTGTTTCACTACCCCAATGTGTTTCGCATGAAACAACTGTAGCTTTATTCCTGACACAGGTTTTCCACCATAAATATTTTAATCAAAAACCACTTGCATTAATGTTAAGATTATAATGATTGTGTTTGGATTATTATCTATTACAAATGAGGCAGATATTATAGAATTTTGCACAAAAGATCAACATTTTAATGTCTCTTAATAGCCTGAACTTAATGAAATCATTACTATATTTCAGAAAGCGGATTTTGTTTGAAGAGCTTGAACCCACCTTTCACATATTAAACCTATGACAATAGTTGAACTACTACAGTGGTGAGGTAAACAGATCACTGCTGGTGTACTGACAAACTGGGCAGATGAAATTAATTTGGGGAGCTTTCGAACCAGTGAGAAAAATAGCCTTCTTTGTTAGACTTTTGTTCGTTCTTGAACAAAAGCCTTAATATTCTGATACTGTAACAGAGCTGTTTAATACAACTGACACTAACAGTGTGAATTTTAGTTGGTATTTAGGACGTGAGTGAAAACATCTGTTGATAAAAAGACAAATTAATATCTTGCTTTGGGGTTTCTTGTGTCATAATTGCAAAATAATGCTAAATCAGTAGTTAATCATGTTCAGGTTTTATATGTATTGGGAACTGAAAACGGACTTAAATAAGAACCTTATAAATGTTTGGCATTATCATTTCACATGCAAATATTTTGACAAAAGATGCATATGTGAACACAAAATGTCCAAGGTTCAAGCTTTTAATAGACTCTTTGACTCTGTTAATATGTCTTTCAATCTTTTGATCACACTGTATCAGTGATAACACTACTTTCATCACCTATAAACATAACTGTCATATGCTAAAGTCTACTGATCAACCTGTGACGTTTTATGAGCTATCCTCACTGCTAATAAGTGCAAGGCTTTACAACAGTACAACCATTTACAAAGGCGGCCAAAAGCCTTCCCCTGTTTATGTTTGTTATTATGTATTACTGTTATTGTTATTATAACATTGTCTCTATGGCATTGTGGTAGGGAGAAGAAGGCTTGTTTCCTTTTAGACACACAAACACCTGATTTCCATGCCGTTACCATGGTGATGGCTATAGGAAGCAGGTTAGGACTTGAAGACTCACATGAGGACAAAAAGATGGCGTGAGATAGAAAGAAGAGGAAAGAAGTCATCATCTATGTATTATGTTGTGTCTGCAGCCTTTGGCTAAATATAATAAGCAAACAGAAAATGGTGTTTCTGTCAGTCTGTACTTTTTCTTTCCCAAACAGAAATTATGGGCTGTTGTGGGGGCTGACTTAAGATTTATCCAATTCTCCATTCCTCTGAGCAACCAGAAACCATGGCAAACCACAAAAGCCATACTGCTAGTATCTTTAAAATAAGTTAAGATGAGAGGTAATGAGAAAAACTTCCTTTCAGACTCACTCTCCTGCCTCCTAGCAACTGTTTAATTTGCTCTGCAACGGGTTCAGAGGCTTTTGAATTATCTCAATACATTAAAACTGTTTTAAAAAGCAAGCAAGTAAGACAAGTAAATCAAAAACCATGACACCTTTACATAACACTATTTTTTTCACTCTCTCTCTGTTGGTCATTACAGCAAGTTCTAGAGTAAGTTTCCATTAAAAAAGCAGCTCAAATTGGTATTTATTCCAGATATCTGAGATACTGCAAAAGAACAAATCAAGCTGAAGGGAGCACCAAACTGGTCTACAGTGCATTTTAAATGTCATCGTTTAAAGATAAAGAATGCCACAGATAACCAATCTGAGGTAAAGTGTTTAATATATATATATATATATATTAGGAATGTGTAAACATATATAACTGCACCCTTAATGGAAAATATGGTCTGTAATCGTGGCAATCAAGACTCATTAGAAGACTATGGTACAATGATCATGTGGACAGGTTATTTACCTGTGATACAGATAACAACGGTGCACTATAACTCATTATCCATGCTTGGTTCTGTGCTGAAGGGCTCACGTATGCGGTGAAGTTGGAGCAACAGAGCACAAAAATGATAAGGGTGTTACATGATACTGCTAACCTAAGACACAATATGTAGAGCCAATGGGGAGAGAAAGTGATGAAAGAGCAGATGAAAGATGACGCAATGCTCTTGAGCTGACTCTGAATCTAACTCCTTCACTGCAAACATTTATACTATGTGTGTTAGACAAAGAATGAGGGAGGGAGTGTATGGTGACTCCCTGTACTCCTGCATCTCTCTCTCTCTATCCCCCCCTCTCTCCTTCTCTCTGCAGTGACTGAGGTGATGAATGTGTGTCTGTCTCAGTTCCTATTAATAGTATGGAGCAGGGCTGGAGGTGTCGAAGCTAAGGAGGGATGAGATCTCTCACTCTCTCTCTCTTTCCCTCTCAAACACATGAAGCAGTTTGAAGCAGACTTTAGAGAGTCCAGATGTAGCAGAGGTGGAGTATAGGTGGGGGTGGGGGCAGGAAGCAGGGGAAAGAGGGTAGAGGTCGAAGACAAAGCCAGCAGCTAGCTTCAAACAGCGTACTGACGGATTTACTACCTATACGATAAAGCAAACAACACACAGAACTTCTCAGCACAGTGGGGTGAAAAACTGGACTTGCACAGTAGGTCTACACAGACAAACTCACTGACACGTAAGTGCCCAGACACACATACTGTTTAACAGTGAGTTAACTGATTTAACCCTGTCACCATTGTGCTACAACAGGTGTCCATTCCAGACTAAAATTGGCACTGATTCATTTAAGAGAGGAGGAATAGGTTTACAGTGGAAGACTACTGTTCATACACTCAAGCTTTCTGCAGTGCATATTCCTACCTCGTGAGTTGGTAGCCAGATCGGCCACCTTCTGAAAGGCATCCAGGAAAGCAGCCACAGCAACTACAGTCGCCCTAGGAGAAAAAACTGAGGTTTAGTTAAAAAAAAAAATACATATATATATATATATATATACACACACATCACACTTTACTAATATGAAACCATATACAATACCGCGTATTACAAAAATAAAGATGGTAGAAGCAGTACAGCATGCCACAGAGGTTAAATAAACACAAGTGGCTGATCAACTGCAATAAATACATACAACACTTAAATGTTGGCAGGAGAGCACATAAACTGATCTGAAAAAACAAAAATATTGTTTGCATGTATGTGTGCATGAGCGCTACATTTTATATTATGAAGCTTTCACTAAGTATGTGTGTAAGTAAAACCTTAAACATGCCCTGCTGTGTGAGGAATGTCTATGTGATTACTTAGAAAGCTGGAAGCTGTCCGGCTCAACAGAGCAGCTCTTGAGCAGAGTTTGCCACACTTATAGGTCAATGAAAGGATCAATGAGGGATCTACCCTGTTCCACTCTGAAATAGAAAAGGGGCTTGTTCACAACTCCTACCTGCTTCTCTGTCATCATGTATGGTTTACCAAGTATTTACAAATTCCAGTTTAAAATACTGCTTAAACATAACAGACTGAAGCAAGGGCAAAATCCAATCAGTCATAAAAAAGTAGTGAAAGCTTGGTGCAAGATTACTGTCTGTTTTACTCATTACAGACATAATCTCACTGGTATCTCGATTTATTGCCTGTCTGGCTGACTGACTGACCAGTCACTTTGCTTGCTGGCAAAAGGCTGCCAGTTGACTGGTGAACTAACAAATACTGACTCACCTACTTCATAAACAACAAACCTCTCATGATTAAGATCACAGGTATGTAGATGAAAGGCTCTTGGTGCGTGTGCATGTATGTCATATCTGAGCTCCTCAACAGAGACAACAATGCACGCTAAAATAACAGACACAGAATTGTCTGAAAATTTTCCAACGCATGCTGGGCCACAAAAGCATGTTTGTTCAAACACTGAGTACCTTCATTTGTAAACACTGTCATTGTCCATTGGCAAACAGAAAACCACCATAACACAACTTGGGAATTTCCATAAACAGTCTAGACAGGTAGATTTCACAACTGGACAAAACAATAGTTTGTTGTTTTTAATCTTTAATTTTCCAACATAAACATGACAAAATCTATATTTAAGCATGATTTTACTCAGTGTATCCAAAGACACTGTAAGGCAATGGCAGGAGTAGTTGATTGCTGGGTGGGAGGACACTGGAGCACCCTGGAGTTCTGACCCAGGACCAGTGCTAACCACAGAGCCGATGTGTCTTGACTGATGATTTACTGTGGTTGGACTATGTAATTAGTTGTTCAATCGAGTAACAGTTAAGATCTCACAGGGGCCTCCTACAAGCTTGCCAGAAAGGGAAAGCAGAACGCAACTGATCAACTGATGAACAACCTTGGTCCAAAAATATGTCACAGGCCTAAATAGTCTTCAACATTTGAGTGACAGCCAAGGCTTAGCATTCAGTCAATGATAGAACACTTATTTCCTTTATCACTCAAAAACCTGGCTAATAAGTGCTGTGTCGTTGCAGACCAGAAGATCTAAGGGTGTGTCCTGCAAATGGAAAAAGAAACATACGAAGAGGCACACACAGATTCCTTTCTATTTAAAGACTAGTGTGGGCACCAGAGCAACCCCCAACTGATATCTGCCTCCAGTAATTTATACTATGCATGTATACATTGGTCTATAGATCATATTTTTTTTGTTAAGTCAAGTTTAACATGTTAATACAAAACAGGTTTGTGTGGGAAGTGGTTTTAACTGAAGCCAGCTTTTAGTATCAGCGGCTCCAGTCCACTGACGTACAGCAGTTTACTTTTACTAGCCATGATCATCTGCTGTAATCTGTTCCACGCCTAACTAAGAAACAGGTTTTTCCATTCACTAGACTTTCAACTATCTGTCTGACCTTAAAAAATAAACAGTCAACATTAGTGGAAAAAAGCAAACACTGAGAATGATTAAATAAGCAGCATTGAACAAATGTAACATCTGAAATCTTTCCAAAATTTCTGGCTCAGTCGACAGTGACAGGTAACTTCTCAACAAATATATGCATACTAAAGTTACAATGGCAGAATAGTAATATGATAGTAATAAATAAAAGCAAGAAAAGTTTTCATTTCTGTTCTGACAGCCAAAAAGCCTCAAGACTTCTGTGGCAGTAAGTGTATAAAACATTACTACCTTCAGATCTGCACAGTACTCCAATGACTTGACTGCTACCAAACGCCCCAGTCTTGGAGTCAAGACAAACGACTTTAACATATCTATTCTGCAAGGCCATGGCCCAGTCAATCTTAATTCCCCATAGACCCTGGCGTAGTACAGCGGAGGGTTCTTTCTGACAATGATACATTCAGCACTGCTGCCCCCGTCTATTCTTAGTTCAACTGAAACTGGAATCACTGAAAGAGGTTGTGTTCAACTCCACTTGTTTCACACAAAACATACCAAGAATTGTGACCGAGATAGCACTTTGAGCTTGCTTCGAGATATATTTTGTATGTGTGTGTTGTACTGTGTGTATTTGCCTGTTGATCTACACATCCATCTATTGTTTAAACATTTAGGGCTGCTCCTTGAGCCCAAATAAAGTTTTATAACCATACCAGTTCAATAGTTGAAGTTTTGAGGTGGTTACTTTAGACAAGAGAGAAGGAGGCCTGTGTGTAAGCCTAGTTCTGACACAGCTGCCTCAACCGTGACCCACCGAAAGGACACTGACAAGTTAAAAGGGGACTGTGATTAGAAATCAGCTAGCCTTCATTCCACCCTGCCCTCTTTCTTCAAAGCACTGTTCTGTGAGCATGCATATGTGTGGATATATATATGTGTGTGTGTGTGTTTGTGATAGCTTCTTAAAACCAGAACATATTTGGCCGGGAAAAAAAATGACAGAACAGCCCCAACACTGTAATTGGTCGATTTCCTAGTTGCTTTGTGAGAGGGGCGCAGAGGGGCTAAATTACAGAGCAGTCTGCCTCAGGACGTCATTACACACACAGACATATGCCACTACCACTGCTGGCTACTCACTTATCCAGGCCAAGGAGGGAAGGTGGGTGTGCTTGTGTTTTACTGTGTGTGTGTGTGTGTGTGTGTGCGCCTGTGTATGTAGCCCAGTCCCAAACAGATTACAGAGGTCCTTGGGTGGGGGGGTTAGGGTGTAGTCGAAAGGGCTAGTTTGGCCAAACTTCTAGTGGCTGGAAACAGGCTTTAAAACGGACAGAAAAAGGCTCATTTGTAGGTCACCACGAGCAAACCAAGATAGCACACTCTTATTAGCGCTCCAGGAACAAGGGCATCGTTACAAGCAGCCATACGCCACAACCACTGCAGCCTGGAGAAGGGCGTAGGCTCAAATACTGAAAGATGGTCGTGTTTCTGTGAATGTCAACTCATCCTGTAAAGGGGGAATTGATCTTTTATCTCCATCATCAAGCTTTTGTTCAAGATTTGTTCTTTCATCGTTGCCTCGGTGTCCACACACACATACGTCCTACTATTAAACAACAGTCATTAGCAACAAGGCCACAAATACTCCCCTGAGTTTTAGCATGGCAGGGTCACATATTTAACCCCTCAATGATGGAGACACTTGAATAACATATCACCATTAATCAGCCTTAATACTGACAAAAGGGAAGAATGGACACTGAGTGGCCCCTGGAAAGTATTGTTTAGTCCCTGAGCCTTTATACAACTGTCAGTGTGCGTCTGTCTCAGGACACGTGGACACTTATATGGCTAGGGAACTGCCATGCATTGTTAATCAAAAAATTATTTAGACCACAGGACATCCATATTTACAGTACTTGCTGGACAATGAGCTTTTATTTCAGCTATCATAAGTCGTTTGTCTCCTGACACGTGGCCACTTAAAACCAACTAGGAGAGGTGGCTGGGATTGGCATCCATTGTTAGCAGAGGACTTGGAATAATTCTGGCAAGAGGTGTGTAAAATTACAGCATTAGAAAAAAAAATTAAATCAGGCTTAAAGAAGACTAAATGGGAAGGAAAGGACACGTAAAGACCCCTGGACAGTATTGTTAAGAGATTAGTCTTTTATGTAAACTGTCATTGCTCGTTAGTCTAAGGACACGTGGCCACTTAAAACTTCTCTGGAAGGGAATTGACACTGACATTCAATATAAAAGCCCAGATAAAGGACAGAATCAGTTGATGGAATGAGATTTTTTGGTGTAGAAGAGGTTTACATGGGGGATCAGAGATGTTATGCAACAATCAAGGTGGTGCTTCCCTAGCTTAAATTGTAGTTTATACTCTAACGTTTAACAATACACTCTGTGTGTATCTATAGTGAAGTTAAGAAAGCGTGATAAAATGACATATTTAAAAACCTCAAATGAACTAAACCTAATGTGTTTTATGTAATTTGAGGAAGGTTAGTCTCCTTATCTTAGCACACATATCTGATTTTGTGTCTCCCTAGTATAGTGGAAGTTTCAGTCACATGCTTCATGTACGTCATGATTTATTCACTAAGCCTGTATCTATTGCACTCTGTCATACTTTGCTTTTGCCAACATTTTAATCTTAGCCAAGCACTTTGTTGCAAAATTGTGACCTTTTTTTCACATTTCCAGCATTTCCACTGGATGGTAAATGGATTGTACTTATATATAGCACCTTTCTTGCTGCGGGAGGAGCCGGGGATCGAACCGCCAACCTTCTGATTAGTGGGCGACCCGCTCTTACCTCCTCCTCTGCCACAGCCACCCCCGTCAGTTTAAAGTTTACTCACTTAACTGAAATCCCAATACCAAGAGCCAGTGTAGTATTACTGGAGAACCTAAATGACTAACTATGTGAAAATGTTCATTTCCCCTCTTTTTAGTTTTCTTATTGTAAGAGTTTCTGTTACCATTATCAATAAAACACACATAAACATACAAATGTGTTGTATGTGCACACAAACACGTTCTCACCTGAGCTGCGACTGCAGTTTGCCGGCCTTGGTGATAAAGTCTTCCCAAATAGGGTAGCTGCTCTGTGGGGGGAAAAAAAGGCACACAAACATAAATGACACAATAATCAGAACTCAGATTTCACTGTTCCCACAGTTACGTAACAGTTCAACCAACACGAGGCCATACTGATGATGCCTCACCTCACCTGCAGGGCTAAACTGAACTCACTAACGCTTAGGCTTTCCCATGTCACAGCGGAATATATGTTTTCCCATCAGTTTCCTTCAGGCCTGAGGATACGGGGGCATTTAAGCAATAGGATAAACATTTGTTGAAGAGGGTTGTATGAGTATGAGAAGCATGAGTTTGGGTTAGGTTTGATCTGAACACAGAATAAGTTGTAATAACACATTACTTCAAACCAAACAGCTGCTTTTATTTTGTTAACCATTGGTTTATTCTGTGTTATATACCGTCATGTCCTGCATGTGTTAGGTTGCAAAATGGGTCACAATTTGGAAAGGTCCCCGCACAAAACGAGCACTAACACTATGGGATAATGAGCCTGGGTCCCAGTGGAACTCTAAATTTACCTAATTCAGGGCCTGGGCTGAAAATAGTCAGAGAGCCTTTTACTGAAACTATCACGGAGAACAAGTGGCCTGATGCATCGAAGAGAGGAGGCTAACATCAGGCAGCACAAGTGACGGATGCAGCATGAGCACATGTTTGCCACTGATGTGCTACTACTGTCAGGGGCCCGAGGAATGTCATGTTATGCTGTCAAACATTACACCCAACAACCAACTCAAATCTCGAGGCAGAGGACGACAGTGCCTCTTTTCTTTCTCTCTCCCAGTCCCCCTTACACCCTTGCATCACTTTTCTTCCAATAAATCTCTGCAGTCTCTGAAGAGGCCACCGCCATCAGCTCTGCCTGCTTTAGAACAGATATCAAACGCTGCAGCACCGTGGCAAAATGAGCTTTCTCTGCATTTGGTGTTGTCTGGCTGCAGGTACCCGGCAGATCAAAGACAGGGGAAACCGTGACCCACCCAGTCAAGTGAGACATGGGACACTGAGAGGTGCTGAAGGTCTGAGCAGTATTCATAACAAACTTTGTGACTCCAGATGACCCCCGTGGCTGGCCATTTGACCCACACATGTCGAAGCCTTCAGAAGCTCAGGGTAATTTTCTACCCTGACAGCGAACATTCCCGGCATTCCTTCAGGCAAGCACAACAGCTGGGAAATCTGCTAATTGTCTCATGGGCTGAGCTGTAAAACGTATCATCGAAATAAGATGCCCTACTTTGGAGGCTGATGAGTGCCCTATTTATTGGCTGCTGCTCCACTTCAAACTAGAACAAACTAACGTGGAAGAAAATATGTTTTTTCCAGTGGCACAGGAGCTGAGTGGAGTCAATTATATGGATTAATAGCCAATAACTAACACAAAAGCAGCTCTAACGTTAGGTTAATAATACCATAAATACTATACTAGTTATCGTAAGCATCATTTGCCAATAATATCTATAATAAATGTACTCACTACTTCATTTTGTTTATCGACCTCTAGCGTTAAATACACAATGAAAATGTTGGTGTGGGTTTCAGGTGAGTTAGTTAACATTACCGTACCGTTGGTTAACCTAAATTGTTTAACGTTTTCTATTAAAAGTAAACCAACATTTTTAACGTTAAAGCTAGCCCCATATACCGGTGTTTGTGCAGTTAACTGGTGAGTCTCTGTGCCTCGCTGGACGGCTCATGTAATTTGTGTTGCAAAGTAAATTTGGCTTACCTTCATGTCTCCGATAACAGTTTGGAAGAGTCCTCCAAGCGCGCTGCATTCCTTCTCGATAACAGCCTCCATTTTCAGGACCAACTCCAGTGGTCAGTCCCGACTCCGTGAGCCGCTTTCAGTTCGCCACCTCGGCTCTCCAGGAAAACAACACAAAAAAAAAACTCCCCCAAGAAAAAGAAAATATGAACAAAAACGAACAAAACCCCGTGTATAACAATTTCTGCGTTCTGAAATCGACGAGCAACAACTTTTATCTCGCAAAAACGTGAAGACTCACAGCTGGCTTCTGCTCTGGTGCACCATTTACTACAAATCAAAAGAAGCTGTTGGGACGAAAGAGAAATTTAAATCCCCCTCTCCCCTCCACGCCGCCCCGCTCATACCCATGGCTGGACCGCGAAAATGATTGTTTGCAGTTTGCTGGTCGAGTGAATCCACGATGTTCGTCTGGTAACGTTAGTCCGTATCTTGACAGGTAAATGCCGACACTTTACGTGCGTCCTTACTGCCGTCTCACCAGACAGAGGGGGAGAAAAAAACGAGACTAGAAACAAACGTCAAGTCCGCACGTACAAAGAAAAACACATTTCCGGTTGATTATTTACCACCAAAATAAAATATATGATTAATGACGGCTCTAAAGTCGTCCTCGAGAGATCGGTCCCTGTAATTGAACGGTAACTACATATTTGTTCTATGAATTAGCTGTTATCAAAACAACCGTTTTAATGACATAGCATACCATTTCGTTAAAACTTTAAATTTTGCCATAGAACTTCTTATTTTATTGTGAAGCAAGACTCGAGATACTTCCGGTAATACTCCATGCGCTTTACTGGATGATGATGATGATGCAGAGGTGAGCAGTGGAGCGTAGGGGATGTGAAGTTGTTTCCCATTTGGCAGCATTTTACCATACAGAAACATCGTTTAAACAGCGGCTGAATATACGGACTAGTCTAAATAAGCAGAAACCAGTTTTCTAAGTATATAAGAAAATGTATATAAGTTTTTTTTTCTTATTTTTGCTGACATCATAAGTTTTGAGGGTGTATGATACAAGCATAATCTTGTGCCAACAGTATTTTTTTGTTGACACCAACGTATTGCTGTTTATGTATAAACATTGGATAAATATGGAAAAGTTGAGCAGTTGTAGATGACGGGAGACATCTAGTGGCTGAAATGAAAATTACAACATCATTTCTAACCCCAACAGAAGACACCAGGGGCCTCATGTACTAACGTTGTTCAGGTTCACGTTCGGATGTACTAAAAGTGAAATAAACGTGAGAATGTGCGGTCCTCCACGTCAGCTTCATTGC